ATCCAGGAGGTTTTCACCTTTGACTTATTTGTGATATATTGGGAACATAGCTAGGCAAGACTCTGTGCCTTGCCCTGGGACAGACTAGAGTAGATGGCGGAAAAGATCTCAGCTTGACTAGTGCGTCAGTGTGGAATAGACCAAGTGCAGGTAATGGCAGTTAAGTGGCAGAGAACAATATAACACCAACTAACATTTATTGAGCACTTCCTGTATGCTTGGCATGCCAAGTGCTTTACATGTAACACTCAAGGTGGACTAAATTAATTTCCCCTCTTTCACCAAGACTGAAGAGTCTGAAAAATGGTAATACAAATATAGGGTTAACATTCGAGTTTTACATCAGGACCCAGGAGGTCATGGATTCTAGTTTTCCCTTTTCAGGTGAGTGAACTACAGCACAAAAGAGAGGCAAGCAAAATGCAATGGTAGTTCAGAGGAAGGTAAACTTACTTGGGAGTTGGGAAAAGGAAATTTGGAACTGGGAGGAAGGAAATGTGTCAACAACAAAAAAGATGGGAAAATGCAGGGTATATTTAAGATTTAAGATTCTACTGGTTGAAATAGAGGGTGTGTATAAACTAAGTTTTTAATTTACACATTCATTTTCCATTTGCTGTGAAAGGTCTTACAATTATGCCCAACAGGGGAGGTCTTCTCAGGTTCAACTACACACTGAGTCACAACTCGACTGTAGCCCATACTCGGATACTCCCTGTGGTACAGCGCAGCAAGCACAGGTCACTGGCCGGGCGCGGGCCGGTGCCCCCGGGGGCCCCTGTGGCTGTCCGCTCAGCAGTGCCGCTTAGATTCAAGGGAGCGAGGCCTTGTCCCCTACAGGAGCTAAGGTCTCTTGTAACAGCTTCAAAGGCATAGATAGCTTTCAGGCTTTCTGTGAGGGACACACCAGTTACTAGAGTCAGAGCGTTCAGGCAAGTCCAGAACGGGGACTCCCTGCCAAGGACTGATAGGTCTTTCTCGCTACAGTGTGGGCTGCCAAACTGGGCTTCTCTCTCCCAGGTGCAGTGCTGCCTAGCAGCGTGGCTGACACACTACTCTTACTGAGTTGTCTGAGAAAGAGAACCAGAAGGTTAACCATGGTTCAGAGTCTCATGCAAAAAGGGAAAACGTTTTGTTAACCCTTTGCCCATCTTCCCCAACATCCATTCCAAAATTAGTGTTTTCCTCAAAAATAATTCCTATTAATAACTTTTCTAAGAGTTAACATTAAATTGTATAGATATTGATAAGCACTTAGTTTATATCCAACTTTTCACTATTACAAATAAGCAAAGGACATCCTTATGAATATATGAGAATATTTCCTGGCAGTACAATTATTTGGTTAAATGATAGATTTATGTAAAATGCTGATAGGTAATATTAAATTGATGTTAATCTCAAATGCACACCAACAATGTGAGTACCAATTTCCCTTCACTCTTTTTGTGTATTAGAAATCTTTAAATGTTGTCACTACAATGAATGAGAAATGATCTTGCGTTAATTTGCATTTCCCTGATTACTAAGTTCACACCTTATTTGAAATGTTTATGGCCCACCATTTGTATTTTTCTTTTGCGAATTATTTGATCATACTCTTTGCCTGTTTTTTTTAATTAACTTTTTTATTGATCCATGGGTGTTAAAGAGAAAACCACAGAGCACCACTTGTGCTAAAAGCCCATGACCTAATTGCAGTTTCGACCTTCATCAGAAATGTAACTTTAATCAACCAGTCTGGAATGTTCTGGTCAACACCGATGAGGTCATCTGTCACATGGGCCCTCTTCATTGTCCCTCCCCCACAGAAAGAAAAGGCAATGTATGTGATTAAAAAAACAAAACAAAAACCTTGCCTTTCCCTTGTCCCCAAAAGATGTTCTGGTCTAAAAACAAATCTTCCTTTTCTTTTGTTAATACTTCCTTTGCCTCACCTTCTTCCTGTAGATACCTTCCATTCTGTGTAACTCCTCTGGGTGCCCTTTTAGTTGTTAGATGAAATGCAGCACAATTCACGAATCGCTTAATAATGCCAGTCAGATCTTCAAATTTATTTGGTTAAATTTTGTTCTTAACATGAATAATATATATCTCTCTAGTCATGCTCCACATAACAATGTTTCAATCAACTGACAAACCACATATGCCACAGTGGTCCTATAAGGTTATAATGGAGCTGAAAAATTCCTGTCTCCTAGTGACGTTACAGCTGCTGTAACGTGTGCACGATGAGGCGGGTGTAAACAACCCTACTACTGCCCAGTCGTATAAAAGTACAGCACATACAGATAGGTACGGTACATAATATTGATAATGATAATAAATGACCTTGTTACTGGTTTATGTATTAACTATACTATACTTTTTATTGACATTTAATGTACCCTCTACTTTAAAAAAAAGGATTGCTGTAAAAACAGTAGGCTGTGTTAGGCAGGCATCAGCCTCATTCATGTTGTATACCTTTTCTATGTTTAGATGTTTAGATACACAAATACTTACCGTTGTGTTGCAATTGCCTATAGTATTCAGCACAGTAACATGTTATGGAGGCTTGTAACATAGGAGCAACAGGCTATCAGATACAGCCTAGGTGTGTAGTAGGCTGTACCATCCAGGTCTGTGTAAGCGCACACTGATGTTTGTACAACAAAACCCCCTGATGATGCATTTCTCAGAAGGTATCCCTGTATCAAGTGACACATGATTTTATTTTTAAAGCAAATCTGAGGGGATTCCTAAACTCATTCAATCTGAGATCTAGAACTTTATGATTTCTGGGTTTCCCATTGTACTTTAAAAATTCTTTCCAACTCCAAAAAAAATTTACTCATGTTTTCTCTACCTGTACTTCATTTTCTTTGGTTTCAATCTCAAGTTTAAAGTCTATTACTGTTTAAAAAAACAAAACAAAACTGGAGACAGAGGGGGTAATGCTAAGGAATAGCTACCTGTAATGTTCTGTACAAAAGATTTCAAATATCTCTTCTTTAATATTCCATCTAACAGGAATTAACACCAGAATTTTCTTACATTACTAATGGCTAGCAAGTTCTATCTGCCCTACCACCCTGTTTAGAAAAATGAGACATTTTGATCTTCTTTAAAGAAGTGAGCCAATTGACTCTCTTTTCATTGTTCTTAGTGTTTATCTTGAGTAATTAATCCTTGGTAAATAAAATTTATAGAAGGGGGAAGTAGGAATTAAAACCTTGTGTTTTTAAAGTTTTTATAATTCTAAACAAAATATCACTTAAATGTGTTTTTAAAAAACTTTGAGATAAAAATAGTATGAAAACCATTTTTAAATATGCAATTCAGTGTTTTTAGTATATTCACAAGATTGTGCAATCATCTCCACTAATTCCCGAACATTTCATCACCCGAAATGGAAACCCCCTGGCAACAAGTAAGCAACTTTGTTTTTATGGATCTGCTTATTCTGGACACTTCATATAAATGGAATCATATATGTGGCTTTTGTGCCTGACTTCTTGCACTTATGTTTTCAAGGCTCATTCATGTTGTAGCAGAATCCGTATTTATTTCCATGGTATCACTATTCTACATTTTCTCTATTTCAGTTGACAGATATTTGGGTTTTATCATTTTTGGTTATTATGCAGAAGTCTGACAGAAACATTCATGTACAAGTTCTTGTGTAAAAATGTTTTCATTTCTTTTGGGTACACACCTAGAGGTGGAATTGCTGGGTCATTAGGGTAACTAAGCTCAGCTTTTTGAGGAATTTACAAACTTTTTCTAAGTAGCTGTACTGATTTTACATTCCCATGAGCAGCATATGAAGGTTTCAATTTCTGCACATCCTCACCAACTTGTTTGGTTTAAAATTATAGCCATCCTAGTGGGTATGAAGTAGTATCTTATGATTCTGGTTTGCATTTTTCTAACAATTAATCATGTTGAACATGTCCTCGAGTGTTTATTGGCCATTTGTATTTCTTTGGAAAAACGTCTATTCAATCCTTTGCCCATTTTAAAATTGGGTTGTCCTTTTGAGTTTTTTCTGCATAATCCTAGGAACCTAAAGACAGCACAGAGATGAGAGCTGACAGAGGGCAAGACTGAGCCATGATGACAGATTTTGAACGCTTGTATTCACCGACCTGTAGGTTCAGGAATGAGACCCTTTCCCAGTGGTTTTCTGACCCATCCCCAGGCCCGACCCTATACTGCAGGCCTTGGGGTAAGAGAGAGAGGAAAGCTGAGTGATGCTGGCACAATTAGAAGCGCCATCTTCAACCCCCAGAGGGCCTCTGGCAGAAACTTCCCACCACAGTGAACTTTACACAACCTCCATGCTTATGTCAGAACTTAAAAAAAAACATAGCAATTAAAAGTAAAAATCCACCCCAGCGGATAGAGAAAGGTGTCTTTAAGTGTTAGAGTAGCTACTGAAAAGTCTACAGAGAATATAGAATCCCTACATTAGGCAAAGGCATAGCTGCCATTTTTAGGAGCTTTGCAACTTACGTAATGTTACAACACATATTTTCCAAAATACCTTCCTACCTATTGTTGTCCCTAGGTTGCCGAGACGGTCCAGCCAACATGGCCTTAAACATTAAGTACTATTAAGAGTTCCAATTATAGTAGGTGAGTCCAAAAGTAGAGGGCTCACCATGCGGATTTGAACAGGAGAGGCTGAGAATGTAGACAAATTAGGGTACTGTGTGATGCTGATGCACAAGTGCTTCCTATGTGTTTTTGGAACACGCATGAGAGATTAAATTCTTCTATGTGAAAACTAATGACTCTATGGTAGTTAGGCAAAACAATGCTCAGGCTATGACCTTTGCTATCAAGAGTTTCTGTATACTACAATGGATGCCAGTAAGAGATGTATGACCACGATAGTATGAAGATACGTTCATTGTAATGAGAGAGTTCCAGGTGGATCAAAGGGAAAGCAAGAAACACACCACGAGGCAGGAATAGGATCAGTAAACTACATTTATTGAGTGTTTACTGGGTGGGTACTGGCACATCAGATACAAGAGGATCAGGATGAGGGACGGTAAGAAGTTAAGAAATTAAATATACACATTAATTTTACCACTAATTCTAACTACCAGGGAAGTACAAAAATGTGTGTAAGTTATAATTTAGAATGCATTTTTGATGCCTGTAAAAAGGATAAGCTATACATACAATAAAAAAATCTTTAATTGTGCTTAACATCACAGAATTATCCTAAAATGGGTTGATAAAATGCCTAAACAGCATTCATGTTTATTATAGACAAATATTTTACAATAAATATTGCTTGAAAAGTACAACTGCTTTGACCCCATTGCTGAGAAATCTATGGTCAACAACAACTACACACACAGTTCTAGGATGCACGTGCGGTCCGCCCTCCTCTAAAGTCCACTTTATTTTCAATTTAGCTTCCTGTCAGGCTCTCTTTGGAACTGTTCATATCTCTTTTGTCTGATCATCTTCTTCGAGTTTTCTGATTTCATTTTTTAAACAATTTATAGTTTCACGGCTTGCTTTTAATCTCTCCTTAAGCTCTGCAATTTCAAAGCTTGTTTTTTTCTTCGCAGCTTCTAGTTTTTCTCTGGTTTTCACTTCAAGCTCTGCAACTAAGAAAAACATACACCTTTATTGAATTATTTAATTTTTCTTAAATGTCTAAGATATGTCACAGAGTAATAAATAAGGCATTTCCTGAGCTCAATGTTTCCAAGATGAAATGTGGACAATTTAAGATATATAACATGAAACATAGGGGTGTGGGTAAGAAAATCTGAACCCACAAGAGAGGATCTCAGATGTTTTCTGTAACTAATAATGAAATAATGACCACTAATATTTTTGTTCATTGTTAGGATTTTATAATATAATACCTTTGTTTTTCTCCATATATATGTTATTTTGGAGATAACAAGGCATACAATCCAAGAGACATCCAGGTAATAAGAACAGTAAGTGTATAGTGTTCTTAAATTTATGAACAGGTAAAACTTAAACAAAATCACACTAATTAAACAAACCTGTATCTTTTTTTCCAAAAAAGACAGCAATAACTGCCTAGGTTTGAATTCCAGTTCTACCATTTATTAGCTTTGCCATTCTGAGTAAGTTATTAATTATCTCTATGCTCATTTCCTCACTTTTCAAATGGAGATTATAATAGCAAACACCTCAATATTATTTGATGAGATTTTAAATGAATTCATGTACATGAAGTGTCTAGAACACTATCTGATACATAAAAAGCCATACTAACAGCTATTATGACAGAGGAACATTAAGTGACATTTAAAACATTTTAGATGGCTATATAACAAACTGCTGAAGAAAACCTCTCTTCTGCAAAACAAAATTCACCTATTTAAATATTCCACTTAGTGTAGCACTAGGTTTTACAAAGAGAAAAGCCTACTTTCACCCTACATCTCCATCTTGTGGACATTTCAGGTAATTGCTGCTGATGAACATTAAAGCATACTTAGGCTTTAAGTACAGCGTAAAATGATCCCTAATTGGAAGCAGCATGGTTTGTTGAAAAAAAAAAAACAAACACCTCTTTGAAATCAGAAAAACTTGAGGTCAAATACACCCTCAGCCCCTCATTAGCTGAACAATGATATCTCTGTCTCCCTCAATCTCACCTTTCTACATGATATGATTAAAACTTTGTATTTCTCAGAGGATTTATGAGGATTAAGTGATACAATTAGCCTTGAGTTCTGCATCTGTAGATCAAAAGTATTGGGGGAAATGTTGTGATTGCTAATGTGTACTACGCAGTTAGGCCTAGATGACGGCATCTGCACTGAACATGTACAGACATCTTTTTCTTCTTATTCCCTAAACAATACAGTTTAACAATTTACGCAGCACTGACATTATATTAGGAATTATAAGTAATCTAGGGGTGATTTAAAATGTACAGGAGAATATGCATTTTATATAAGGAACTTGCACATCAGCAGATTATATGCTCAGGGTGTACTGGAACCAATCCTCAAGAAATACCAAGGGAAGATTATATGTATATGTAAAGCACCTAGCACATTAAAAACATGCAATGTTTCCTTATTTTGTTCACTGCTGGTTACTTTCTTTTTGTGATACATTTTGTAATAAAGGTAAATATTTATATTGCACTCCCAGTCAGGATGGAGGCGTAGGTAAACATGGCTCATCTCCTCACACAACCACATCAAAATTACAATTAAACTATAAAACAACCATCACCCAGAACCATCAGATATCAAGTTGAATGGAAGTCCAAAAACTACAGAATTAAAGAAGAAACCACAGCCATGCAGACTGATAGGAGGGGCAGAGATGCAGAACGGGCTAGTTCCTATGTATGGTAGTTAAAAATCAGGAGGTATATCTCAGCAGTAAGGGCTCCAGCGCCACACCAGGTCCCCCAGCCCAGGGTTCCAGTGCCAGGAAGGTAAGTTCCCGAGGGGATTGAGTCGCTGGAAGAAACTGCTGGATTCCCAAGCAGTTCCTCTTAAAGGGACGCACATGGACTTAGACCCACTCCCTCTGAGCTCCAGTGCCCAGGTAGCAGCTTGAAAGGCACCAGTGGCGTACGAGGAGGAACTGAAGTATCTGACATCATGGCAAGGGCTGGGGGACAGCTTTACACTAGATATAATTGCACGCAGAGGCCATTGTTCCCTTTCTGAGCCTTCGCCTGCACCACAGAGAGCCACAGAGCAGGCAGGCAGGTACCATATCTGAGACTCTATCTACCTGGTTTACACTATTTACCCTGCCCTGATGATTCATCCCACTCAAGGTGTTTCCAAAGGTTTTCCATATGAAGGGTTTGTCTTGGCTTATGCTGAAGATTTTTCTAAGTTTTCTCAAAAAAGCAGCATCTGGCCTCAGCATGCCCTGCTCCTCTTGCTATGTGGCCCCAGGCCCAGCATTAGCAGCAGCCGGCCTTGTTGAACAGCCTGGCCTTGCTTGGGCACCTCCAAGCCCAGCACAAGTAGCAGCCATCTGCATATCACTCTATAGCTTATGCTAAGTGGCACCAGAGAGACCACAGGCAGTAGCTGACCTTGGCCTGCATCACCCAGGAGACTCTAAGGCCTGTGCACAAAGTGGACCATGCACAAAGTGTGCACTAAAGACCATGTTGAGGCACCAACACCCAACCACTTCCACAAGCAACACGCTCAAGGAATGGATGCAGCAGGCTCCAGAGCCCTGCTGAAGTAAGTCCTGCTCTGTGGAGTGGGCCTCGGCACAGCTGATCCTCATGAAAGGCAGAGATTAGTGGTGAGTTGTCACAGCCAGTCCTTGCAGCTGACTAGCTTGGGTAAATACCTCCCATCAGCAATCAGGGCTCAACTACAAGAGGAGGGTGTACTCAGTCCACATGAAGGGTGCTCCTCAAGTACCCAGCTTGGGTGATAGGAGAGGCTACGTTAGGCTACATTAGGCTATGCTACCAAGACAGGGAATCATAGCAGCTCTATCTAATACATAGAAACAAATACAGGGAGGCTAACAAAATGAGGAGACAAAGAAGCATGGCCCAAATATAAGAGAGTAAAACTCCAGAAAAAGAACTAAACAAAATGGAGATGAGCAATCTATAAGATGCAGAGTTCAAAACACTGGTTATAAGGATGCATAAGTAACTTAGCGAGGGCCCCATAGCATCAAAAAGACCCAGGCAGAGATGAAGGCAGAAATGAAGGTTACAATAAGTGAAATAAAGAAAAATGTATAAGGAACCAACAGTGGGGTGGATGAAGCTGAGAATCAAATCAGTGATGTGAAACATAAGTAAGCAAAAACAACCAATCAGAACAGCAAGAAGAAAAAAGAATTGAACAAACAAACAAACAAACCAAAGACAGGCTAAGGAATCTCTGGGACATCTTCAAATGTACCAACATTCAAATCATAGGGTTGCCAGAAGAAGAGAAAGAACAAGAAATTGAAAACTTATTTGAAAAAGTAATGACAGGAAACTTCCCTAATTTGATGAAGGAAATAGACATACAAGTCCAGGGAACACAGAGAGTCCAAAACAAGTTGGACCCAAAGAGGCCTATACCAAGACACACCATAATTAAAATGCCAAAGGTTAAAGATAAAGAGAGATTCTTAAAAGCAGCAAGAGGAAAGTGAGTTCCTGTAGGTAAGTTCCCATAAGACTGTCAGCTGATTTCTCAAAAGAAACTTTACAGGCCAGAAGGGACTGGCAGGAAGTATTCAAAGTGATGAAGAGCAAGGACCTACAACCTAGATAACCCTATCCAGCAAAGCTATCATTTAGAATGGAAAGGCAGATAAGTGTTTCCCAGACAAGGTAAAGATAAAGGAGTTCATCATCACCAAGCCATTATTATACGAAATGTTAAAGGGACTTATTTAAGAAAAAGAAGTGTATCAAAACTTTGAAGTTTAAAATGGCAGCAAATTCACAACTATCAACAATTGAATCTAAAAAAACAAACTAGGCAAACAAGCAGAACAGAAACAGGATCATAGATACAGAGATCATTTGGAGGGTTATCAGTTGGGAGGGGGAAGGGAGAAAATGGGGAAAAAGGTGCAGGGATTAAGAAGTACAAATTGGTAGGTACAAAAATAGAGAGGCAGATGTTAAGAACAGTACAGAAAATGGAAAAGCCAAAGAACTTACATGCACGACCCATGGACATAAGGGGGCACGCTGGAGGGAACGGGGGCACTGGGTGGAGGGGGGCAAAAGGGGAAAAATTGGGACAACTGTAATAGCATAACCAATAAAATATTTTTAAAACACTTAAAAAAACAGAATAAACTTTGTTTTAAATTTTCAAATGAAGGTTCACCTTGGAGCAAATCAATCTAAAGCGTAGTAATTATTTGTGCAGAGCCAATATAACTTACTGGTTTGAAGCGTCAATTTTAAGATTTTATACAGAGACTGAACTGCTTATTGATTAAGAGTGTGGACTCAGGGTTTAAAATCCTGGCTCTACTTCATTATTCTAGGGTATTTACCTACAAAATGGTACCAATAGTAGTGTAGTATCTACTTCCTACGGTTATTATGGAATTCATTCAGGATAAGAAATGTAAAGTGCTTGTCTACTATACAGTATAAACTCTCATTAAGTGTTTCTTTTAATTATTCCTTATAGAAGCAATTATTACTTTTAAAAGCTCGATCATTAGTGTTTATTCCCATGTATTACTAGTATAAATATCTTTATAAACTTTTAATATGCTTCCTAATGAACAACCTCTATACCGAATATTACTCTATCTAAAAATATTACTGTGTTTTTAGAGCCTCAGTCTGACTGCCTGGGAGATGCCTCAACTGCTACTTGTCTGCATCTGTGGGAAAGTAACTAGCCTCTCCATGCCTCAGTTTTCTTTTCTAAAATGGATTACCTAATAAAATTATAGACCTAAATCTTATATATGTACAGATTTAGAGGAGTCCAAATAGTAAGCACTGAAAAAATATGATATCTTACTATTACCAAATATTGAGTAAAATGGCCTTAAATTGATAAATAAGTATGTATATATCCTCTTAGGTCTTTGATTAACATTCTTAAATTGCCTCCCTAAGAGGCTAAAGCAATTTATGCCCACACAAACA